TGAAGGAAGTGACTCTGAAGAGTTGCTGATGGATTCCAATTTGGCCATTTCACACTGGAATCTCCCTTTGAAGTTCTTTGGTGGAACTACAATAGCATTAATGTCTGGGTACAGAATGTCCTCTGAGAGTGAAATGTTCTCATGCAGGCTTCTGAACGCTGCCTTTTCTGAAATGTCAAATTTGTCCATTTGTTCCTCTGCATAGAGACTAACCTCTTTGTCTCATTTGGAGAGCAGAAGGGCACGGGTAGCAGAGGACAACACACCAAATGCGGCTTTGCAAAGAGGATGGATCAACTGCTCCTCTTCCTTAAGGAACACTTCCATTCTTGATGGCTATTCCTGCCTTCCCCCGTTACTGAGCAGGCTAGCAAAACCTACAGTACATGTAATTCCACCTTTCTAAGCTATCAATTGGCAATCACATTTTCATCACATGCTACTTGGAAGCCCCATATCCCAATCTGAAAGCTCTACCATAACCCAAACGTGGAAAATGTCATTGAGAATGCTTTCTAGGTTTGGAGTCATTAAAAAAAAAAAATAGTTCCATGCTTAAAAGCTGGAATTTAAAAGCAGGCTCCAGGGTTAATTAACCTGTGGCCAAATCAAGAACTGGTTATTACAAGGAAACGTCACCGCGTGGCAAAATTTCTCCGTAAATTTGGAAATTTTATAAGTGCTGACTTTATAAATGCACCATCCATGCTATCTTTTCTACTAATCAAAAAATGACACACTGAATTGCAGCTGGACAGCAATTTTCAGACCCTTTTTTCAAATAGATCCAAATTTAGCTTAGCAAACCTGGGGTTTCTTCCGAGTAGTTATTTTCTAGAGTTTTCCTGGCCCAATATGCAGTCTTCACTTAGACACAGAACCTAATTAGAATTGCATATTTAAGAAGACAGCCAAATGTTCTGTGCCACATCCAACTTCATGGAGACTCCAGCAGTCCATTTGCAAAGCCATTTCAAGAAGCGTGCAATAAAATGATGACATAAAATCGTAGGGGATGCAAAAACGACAAAATAATTACCCAGTTATGAGTTGACATTAAAATAGTCCAAATAGTATAATGAGCTGCCCTTAACATGGGGGAAATATCTATATATTAACAGTTAATATTTTTACAAACAATCTCTTTGATCATTCAATCTAACCTAGATGAGAGATGTCAACTTCCATCTTCTTGGAGTAAGACCCAGTTCTTTCCTCCAAGCAGCTGACCAGCAGTAGAATCTTGGTTAGTGCAAATCATTAATAATGGATGGGTCATGCTAAGCCATGTGTTTTAACCATGATTTGTGGAATAAACCATGCTAGCTGGTTTTGCACATCACGCTCAACCATAAAACATGGGTAACAAACCACAGTAGCTGGATTCACACAATATACTAAGTCCAAATTAAGCAAGCCAAATGAGAGTGATGTATAGAGCCAGCATTGTATTTCGAGGAGAGGAGAGGAGAGGAGAGGAGAGGAGAGGAGAGGAACACATCTTAGCTCAGAATAAACTCGGCAAGATGAACAGTGTTCCTTTGGGTATGAATATGACATATACGTGGTAAATACATTGGTGGCTTCTTCTTGTAACAAGTGAAACAATGTGTGAATTGCTAACTCGGCTAAATACAGGAAGGGCTGTGGGAGGGGTGTTTAAATGTCTGCAGAAAATATCTAGCTGTGACTAAAAAACAGCAGCAAAGAAGTAGAATAAAAAGGTTGTTTCACTTGAGTTCACTGGTTGGCATTCTGATGCAATTCTGTCTCTGGTTAATTCAGTTTTGCGAATTACCAAATGGAATTAAGAAGCAAAGCACTCTGCAGTTCAGGATGAATTAAGAGTCTGAAAAAGCTGGAAGGCTGAACTTTTACTGACCTCACTCAGCTCGAGAATCCACACTGACCCAGTGGAACAGAAGGGCTCCAGACAGGCTCTTAAAAGACTCACAGGTTGATGATCCATAAAAGAGTAGGTCATCTAAGTGTCAAAACAAGCCACACAGCCTTAAAACAGCATGTGCGCCCAACAGCCTGTGTTTGGAGAACCATCACCTGACTTTGCCCTGTTCAGAATAGAAAGAACCACATTTGGAAGGCAAGAGCATGTTTAAAGCACTGGTGAGTGGAAAGTGGTGTCCATATTTGCTTCTAGTGGTGTCCTTAAGAAGCCACAAGGACTTCAAAGGGATGGCACACGCCTTGCAGTGCCATCGCACAAAGAATGCACTCCTGTACTTACCCAAAGCACATCACTTGTGTGATGATGTCACCATGCACGTATTGTTTTGGAGACTCATGTGAGTGGGGCACCACCATGGATCAATTCCAGTCTTCCATTTGTTCAGGTAAGAAATTCCTGCCTACTACTGGATTGTGTAAATTAGGTTTATCTAGAGAGGTTACAGAAATATTCTTAAAACATCCTGATTTGACACTGCTCTGTCTTCTCCTTTTTAGGAAACCCTTGTTTCTCCTCCATGTCTCCTCATTTCAGGAAATCCTTTTATTCAGCAAACCCCACACTGGCTGGATTTACAAACAAACTACAGAGAACTGCTTTGGATCAGCCTAACGTCCTAGCAAAATTAATCAACAAGGGTGAAGACCAAATTATGCTACCAGACAACAGAGCCGTCAGATTGAGCTACCTAACGATATCAATCATGGCGAGAGGGCATACAAGGTTCTTGAAGTTTAGGCTGGGATTAGCAGATCAGGCAGCATAATGGTATGGGGGAAAGACCTTGGGAGACTGGGCAAAGAGTCTTATGCCCCTTATCTGCCTAGGGAATGGTCAGATAAGAGACAGCATAGCCCACAGCAGGAATGTGGAGGGCAGGGCAAGAGGCTCAGAAGGGACCCTCCCTAGTTTCTTGGTCTGTAAAAGAGATGGGGGGGGGGATTGTACTTTCAGACTTGCAAGATTCTGTCAATATAGCTTTACAATAAAGTGGAATTAGTTCATCTCATTGTGATTCCTAACTAGTTTGCCCTGCAAGGCCAATATCAATCTTGCCAGTCTGAAAGTACAATCCTCTCCCTGTCTCCTTTACAGCCTGAGAAACTAGGAAGGGTCCCTTCTGAGCCTCTTCCCCCTCCCACTATCCAGCTGAAGGCTATGCTGCCTCTTATCTGACCATTCCCTAGGCAGTGACTCTTTGCCACGTCTCCCAAGGTCATTCCCACAGACCATTACAGGCAGTAAGGATTCCCCGGCCTGCTCTCATGAGACAAATGAACTACAGAAGCGAGTGAAGACAGTGGTAATCAAAATCAAATATTGTCACATGGAGCGTATGAATCAATAAGAAACCAAGCAAGTAAGCAATAAGCGAAATTAAAGGCAGGGGGGAAGAACAGGCAGAGGGAAAAAGGGAAGTCTCTAAATTGTGATGCTTGGGGATGGGAGACAAAGCCGCATCTTTATCACGCACCAGAGCTAATTTATTTGCCACTGTAGATACAGGATGAAGAATATGGGAAGATGCTCCCCCATTTATTCATTTATTAATTCATTCATTCCTTTTTTTTTCCCCCCTAGGCAATCTAAAATGCTGCCATTCGAAGACAATTATGTCCATTTCTTCCTCTGCTGGATTAGAAAGTAATTTCACAGACTCATAAAACGCATAACTAGAAAAATATATCACCTGCATTCCCCCGTTTGGTAATAATCTCTGCTGGCCGCTGCAAAGAGCTCCTGTAATTTTTCCAAATTCTCTTTGCCTTTCATTTTATGGTCACACAAGGTTCCCAAAACCGCTTCAAGAAACCGATGCACTCACGGCATTGTCTGGCTGGTTGGAAAACACGAGATTAAGCAGGATTCCTGTCCTGAATCGGTGTTACGTGCACCCGAGGAGATATGGGCAAGATCTCAGCCCTGATTCAATCCGAAGATGAGTAATTTCACCGACTCAAAAACGATAAATAGGCTAGACAGAGCAAAAATAACCCACGATGACCAACAGCAAGAAACGGTTCCTCAAAACGGATAAAACTGAATGAAACGCAGCTCAAGAAACCAGTTTTCATGCCTCTGAATCCACATATGGATGGGCATATTTCTTAAAATAGAAATGTTAAGTAAGCAGAGGATATTTATAGCAGCTTGGATCTCTCTTTTTTCTGGGCAGTGGACCATAACAGTAAGTCACTTAGTCCAGATGTGTTTGTTCATTTCTTTCTTCCTTTAATCATTTTATACGGCTGCCCATCTCATATGCATGGCCCTGGATGGCTAACAGTTACAAACAGAATAAAAAGATAGTAAAAAACAACAACAACCAAGTTTAAATAACTATGGCTTATCCAATAAATTACACTGGCTCAATTCGCCCAGCCCAACTAAAGCAATTTAATTCCTTGCATTAAGGAAGAGCAGGATACATAAAACTATCTGTTGTAGTTTATGAACCCTGCCGTATGGCTTAATCTTTGAGGGACTTGAGCCACTATGCTGGCTCAACAAACCATGATTTAGCTCCCTGAGTGAACTCAGCCTTAGCCATGATTACAAGGTTATGAACGGTGATGCTGAGGCAGAGCTACGCCGATGTGACAAAGATTAAGGTTGCTCCAAAATCAGATGAGCAAGGCAGTGTTTCCCAACCTAGTTAACTTTTAGACATGTGGACTTCAGCTCCCAGAATTCTCAGCAACCACCATGAATTCTGGGCATTCAAGTCCACGCATCTGGGAGTTGCCAAGGTTGGGAAACGCTGAGCTAAGGAATGAAAGAATATAGGTTAACCATTAAGCTCTCGGCTTGAGAGTTTTCTGCAAACAGACAAAATCATGATCAGACCTGTTCTTTACTTCTGAGTAGTCCTACAGGCTGCTAATTTAATTGTGAAGTGAAGCTGTGCTGGAGGGGGGAGGAATATTAATCTTTTATTTTCCAGCATGTAATCAACAGGAAGAGCTTAGCAGCAGCAGTGAAGGAACTCTTCCGTTAACGTGCTTGTACTTTTCCAAAAATTGTCCTAGTCGCAATAAAAGAGATTAGCCATTTCAGGAGCTGAGACTGTTTTGGAGAGTAGAAGGGGAAAACACAGCACGGCCACCAAAATCCATGCAGGTCCCCGTCGTTCTCCTCCCTACCAGCTGTGCTGCAGTAGAGGAAAAGCTATTGGAAAACACAGAGATCTCCTTTGCTACACACAGCAGTTGTTAAAAGTCTGGACTTTGTTACTGAATCCTAAGGAGATCTCATGCTTGTTCCTCTTCCAAGAATAAGGTGTTCACTTTCGTCCAGCAACCCAGGCTCCCGTCTATCACAGATTTCCATCCCATCTACTTAATACAAAACATACCCTAATATCTGCAAAGCTACATGGGTAAAACATGGGAGCTCTCCATTTCATACCAATCAAGTCACTTTTAGCATTAAGCTGTTTCTCAATCTTGCTTTAATTTCTTCCTAAACCTTGGCATATTTCCTTCTCTATGACTGTGGACTGTTTTTTTCTCATCAAAAGCTGTGCATCAAACAGGATTGTCTGCTCCTGGACATGGCATATGAGGATGCAAAAGACCTCACACCACACACTAATCTATAACGTGAACCCAACCCTTGCAGCTTATTTAAGCAAACCAAGACTTAGTGGGGTTACTGTGAATCCAACCACATTTTCCCATTGGGTAACTACCCAGAACTACCAGCTTGTAGTAGTGGTACAATTGTGACAATTATTGGACCGGGGGGAGGGGCTATTGCATATGAAAACCACAAAAATCAGGGTCGTAAAATTTGTCTTCCAGATGTTGCTGAATTACAATTCTCAGTAGCTCCAGCCAGCATGACCAATAGTGAAGACCCCAGGTTCTCCATCTCTGATGTAAGTAATAATAAGGCCTACTCCAATGAGCAAGGTGTACTTAAATGACAGGGAAACACCCACTGAATTATCTACATTCTTTTATAAAGAAAGATAACTGATGTCTAACAGCCAAGGTAGACAAGCAGGAATCACCTACAACATGCAGTGCAAGGACTGTGAAAAACACCATGTGGGGCAAAAAGCAGAAAATTGAGAGGACCCATTCATCAACTGGCAATCAGAAGATGAACATTTCTTGATCTTACCACACTCTGGTGAATTCAACCACTATTTCAGTTGAGAAACTGCAGATTACTTAGACAGAAGCTACTTCTGCAGCCCTGTGTGGTCTGAAACATTTGCCTTTGGGCTTTCAGTCTGTAAGCACCTTCAGAATAATAAAATGGGAATCTGGAGTCCTGAAGTTTTATTGAAAAGTTCTCCTACAATTGATTCCCCCCCCCCCCCCCCCCCCCCCCC